TGAAACCTACTGAAACTGTACCTGAGCCAGAAGCACCATCAGATCCTGAAGTAACGGGAAAATCAGAAGTGAAAGAGGCTGAGGTGGCACCCAGCGATGACAGTATCCGGAAAGTAGGTCTGGTGAATATAATTATCCAATACTTTTCCAAGGAGAAAGAACCAGTAAAAGAGGTTGTAGTTGAGGTTGGAGAAAAAGTAGAGGAAAAGATTGCAGAAGCAGTCAGTGAGTCGGCAGAAATCGTTGAGAAAGAAGCAGATAAAGTTATTAAAGAAGCAGAGGTAGTTGAAGAGATCGGAGAGAAGGTGGAATCTGCAGTACAGTTTGTAGAGGAAGCTGCAGATGCTGCTGCCAAAGCTGCCCATGATACTCCTGGTATTCCTGAATCTGTTGCAGAGAAAGCTGAAGAGACAAAGGAAATTGCTGAAAAGGTGGAAGAGGTCATTGGCACAGTAGAGTTTGTTGCAGAGAAGGTTGAGGAAATTGCAGAGGAGATTAAAAAGGAAGCAGAGGCTATTGAAAGTAAGCTGAAGAGACAAAGGAAATTGCTGAAAAGGTGGAAGAGGTCATTGGTACAGTAGAGTTTGTTGCAGAGAAGGTTGAGGAAATTGCAGAGGAGATTAAAAAGGAAGCAGAGGCTATTGAAAGTAAAGCGGTTGAACTGATAGAGAGCAAAGAAAAGAGAGAAGAACTCATAGAAAAAGCCATTGATTATGTGACTAGTAAGATACACGAGGAATTGGAAAGTGCAGAAGTCAAGAAACCAGAAGCAGAAGAACCTGTTGCAGTTGCAGATGTCAAAGAACTTGAAGTTGCATCTGTTGAAGAAGGAAAGCCAGTAGAAGCAAAGGAGCCAGAAGTGCCAGCACCTGAGGGAATGGAAACTCAGGAAAATCTTTCTGCTGTAACTGAAGAAAAAGAGGCAATAGTGGCACCAGTTGAAGAACTGAAGGAGGCTGAAATAACCACAGAGAAGAGTGATGAAAAGATTGGTTTGGTTGATAAGCTAATCCAGATCTTCTCCAGTGAGGATGAAAAACCAGTGGTAAAGGAAGCTGTTGCTGAAGTTGGAGACAAAGTGGAGGAAGAAGTTACAAAAGTGGAGAGTGAAGTATCCCAAGAAGTGGAGAAGGATGCAGCAGATGTATCTACAGCAGCAGACATTGTGAAAGAAGAAGTGAGCACAGAGGAACCTGCAGTGGCACCAGTTGTTGAAGTTGCACAGTCTGAAATACTTGTAACAGAAGAGCAGCAGCCACAATCAGCACCTGTTACAGAAGAAAAAGACTCAACATTGGTTCATGAGGATAAAACGCCAAAAGAGAGAGTAGGTTTAGTTGATAAAATAGTGCAGTTCTTCTCCAAGGAGGATGAAAAACCTGAGCCTGTAAAGGAGGTTGTAGAAACCCTGGTAAAGGAAGCTGCTATTGAGGGTGGAGAAAAGGTCGAGGAAAAAATTGCAGAAGCTGTTAGTGATGTAGCAAAAGAAGCTGAGAAAGAAGCAGATGAAACATTAAAGGTAACTGAAGTAGTGGAAATGGTGAGTGAAAAGGTGGAATCAGCTGTAGACATTGTAGAAGAAGCTGCAGATGCTGCTGCCAAAGCTGCTCATGATACTCCTGGTATTCCTGAATCTGTTGCAGAGAAAGCTGAAGAGACAAAGGAAATTGCTGAAAAGGTGGAAGAGGTCATTGGCACAGTAGAGCTTGTTGCAGAGAAGGTTGAGGAAATTGCAGAGGAGATTAAAAAGGAAGCAGAGGCTATTGAAAGTAAAGCAATGGAACTGATAGAGAGTAAAGAAAAGAGAGAAGAACTCATAGAAAAAGCCATTGATTATGTGACTGGACAAATACCTGAAGAACTTACAAGTACAGTGGTTCAGGAGTCCAAACCAGTACCCTTAGATGAGGAAGTTAAACAAACTGAAGAAGTAAAGGTAACAGAAGAGGCGCCAGCTGCAGAAGTGAAGGAGGCGGAAGTTGCTGCAGATGAAAGTATTGAGAAGATCGGATTGGTTGGTAAACTTATGCAGTTCTTCTCTAATGAAGAGAAGACACCAGAGCCAGTAGAACCAGTGGTAAAAGATGCTCTGGTTGAAGGTGGAGAAATTGTGGAGGAAAAAGTTGCAGAAGTGGTGAGTGAAGTAGCCCAAAGTGTAGAGAAAGATGCAGCAGATATATCTAAGGTTACACAAGTTGTAGAAGATGTTAGTACAAAGGTTGAATCAGTTGTAGATGTGGTTGAAGAAGCTGCAGTTGCTGCTGCCACAGCTGCTCATGAAACACCTGGTATTCCTGAATCTGTTGCAGAAAAGGCTGAAGAAACAAAGACCATAGCTGAAAAGGTGGAAGAGGTCATTGGCACAGTAGAGCTTGTTGCAGAGAAGGTTGAGGAAATTGCAGAGGAGATTAAAAAGGAAGCAGAGGCTATTGAAAGTAAAGCGGTTGAACTGATAGAGAGCAAAGAAAAGAGAGAAGAACTCATAGAAAAAGCCATTGATTATGTGACTGGACAAACACCAGAAGAACTGAAAAGCACAGATGTGAAAGAACCTGAAGTAACACCTATAGAAGAGGCACCAGCTGCAGAAGTGAAGGAAGCGGAGGTTGTTGCAGAAGAAAGTATTGAGAAGATAGGATTGGTTGGTAAACTTATGCAGCTGTTCTCCAATGAAGAGAAGACACCAGAACCAGTAGAACCAGTGGTAAAAGATGCTTTAGTTGAAGGTGGAAAAATTGTGGAGGAAAAAGTTGCAGAAGTGGTGAGTGAAGTAGCCCAAAGTGTAGAGAAAGATGCAGCAGATGTACCTAAAGAAGCAGAAGTTGTAGATGATGTTAGTACAAAGGTTGAATCAGTTGTAGATGTGGTTGAAGAAGTAAAGGCAACAGAAGAGGCACCAGTTGCAGAAGTGAAGGAGGCGGAGGTTGAAGCAGACAAAAGTATTGAGAAGATCGGATTGGTTGGTAAACTTAAGCAGCTGTTCTCCAATGAAGTAAACTTAAGCAGCTGTTCTCCAATGAAGAGAAGACACCAGAGCCAGTAGAACCAGTGGTAAAAGATGCTCTAGTTGAAGGTGGACAAATTGTGGAGGAAAAAGTTGCAGAAGTGGTGAGCGAAGTAGCCCAAAGTGTTGAGAAAGATGCAGCAGATGTACCTAAAGAAGCAGAAGTTGTAGATGATGTTAGTACAAAGGTTGAATCAGTTGTAGATGTGGTTGAAGAAGTAAAGGCAACAGAAGAGGCACCAGTTGCAGAAGTGGTGAGCGAAGTAGCCCAAAGTGTAGAGAAAGATGCAGCAGATATATCAAACGTCGCACAAGTTGTAGATGATGTTAGTACAAAGGTTGAATCAGTTGTAGATGTGGTTGAAGAAGTAAAGGCAACAGAAGAGGCACCAGCTGCAGAAGTGAAGGAGGCGGAAATTGCTGCAGAGGAAAGTATTGAGAAGATAGGATTGGTTGGTAAACTTATGCAGCTGTTCTCCAATGAAGAGAAGACACCAGAGCCAGTAGAACCAGTGGTAAAAGATGCTCTAGTTGAAGGTGGAGAATTTGCAGACGAAAAAGTTGCAGAAGTGGTGAGTGAAGTAGCCCAAAGTGTAAAGAAAGATGCAGCAGATATATCAAACGTCGCACAAGTTGTAGATGATGTTAGTACAAAGGTTGAATCGGTTGTAGATGTGGTTGAAGAAGTAAAGGCAACAGAAGAGGCACCAGCTGCAGAAGTGAAGGAGGCGGAGGTTGCTGCAGACGAAAGTATTGAGAAGATCGGATTGGTTGGTAAACTTAAGCAGCTGTTCTCCAATGAAGAGAAGACACCAGAGCCAGTAGAACCAGTGGTAAAAGATGCTCTAGTTGAAGGTGGAGAAAATGTGGAGGAAGATGTATTGAGTGAAGTAGCCCAAAGTGTAGAGAAAGATGCAGCAGATGTACCTAAAGAAGCAGAAGTTGTGGTTGAAGAAGTAAAGACAGAAGAGGAGGCACCAGTTGCAGAAGTGAAGGAGGCTGAAGCTGTTGCAGACAAACCTACTGAGAAAATAGGATTGGTTGATAAAGTAATACAGTTCTTCTCCAGTGAGGAGGAAAAGCCAATTCAGAAAGCAGCAGATGAAGTAATTACAGCAACTGAAGTAGTTGAAGAGATTAGTAAGAAGGTGGAATCAGTTGTAGACGTTGTAGAAGAAGCTGCAGATGCTGCTGCCAAAGCTGCCCATGATACTCCTGGTATTCCTGAATCTGTTGCAGAGAAAGCTGAAGAGACAAAGGAAATTGCTGAAAAGGTGGAAGAGGTCATTGGCACAGTAGAGTCTGTTGCAGAGAAGGTTGAGGAAGTAGCACAAGAAACTAAAAAGGAAGCAGAGATTATTGAAGGTAAAGTAGACACATCTCAGGCAGAATCTGGTTTGTTTGGTCAGCTGGTTAGCATCTTCTCTAAAAAAGAAGAAAGTAAAGAGGATGTTCCACCTGCTCCTGAGGCAGCAGTAGAGCCACAGGAACCAGATACAGTTGTTACAACTGAAATTACAGAAAAGTCAGATTCAGAAGGGGCCAAGGAGACTTCCACTGACATTGTAAATACTGATGAAACCGTTTCTACCTCATTGAAACCTTCAGAAACCATTGATGATTCTGCACCTGTGGTTGACGAGCTCGTGTCATCTGAATCTGCAAAGAAAGAAACTTTAGTGGAGAAAATTGCAAGTTTGTTTGGTGAGAAAAAAAACGACAGTAAGCAGACAGCTGGTGTGACTTCCGATAGTAGTAAGGAAATTCATGCATCTGACTCTCCAACAGAGGCTGTTCCAGAACCGGTAGCAGTTGGTGATTCCTCACCCGAGGGAGCGACATCTGTGTCAGGACCTTCAGAGGAGTCCCAGGTACAGTCCCCCTCTGTTAGAATAGGCCAGGGTACAGTTGAAGGGGTGGAAGGTAGCATTTCAGGTTTAGCAACACCAGAAGTTCTCGATGCACCAAGCGAAATTACACCAGCTTTTACTGAGAAAACAACAGAACCAGTTTTGGAGGTGAAGGACAAAGGCCTGTTTGATCGGCTGGCTGAATTGATAAGTAGTGATGAAAAGCAGAATATTGTAGCCTCTTCTGGTGCTGCTTCTCAGCAACCAACAGAGGAAGTACACCAACCATTGTCCGAAAAAACTGAGACTGAAGTTCCTGGTTCAGATGAAGCTGCTACAGAGGAAGTTAAGCCTTCATTCCTGGATAAGATTACAACCATGCTGAAAAGTAAAGGTTCTCCTGAAATTTCCAGTACTGAAAAAGAACCAACTCAGGGTAGTGAAAACTCAAATGAGAATGCTAGAGATGATGATGTGTTTGTTGTAGTAGGAAAACCAAGCCATCCAGTTGATGTTGACTCCGCAGAAAGCTCCGAGCAAAGCAAGAATCCAGTGATCTCCCATCAGCGAGGCTGGTCAAGGGTAAAGTTAGAGCCTCATGTCTAAGTGCCTGTTGTAACCAATAGAGATGCTGCTGCTCTCTTATACTAAGCTTCAGGTTGCTGGAATGGGTCTCTTTCCCATCATTACTTCCATGTTGTTTCTTTGTCCAGGTCTTTGTTTGTGAGTGAGAGGTTAGCAGCTTCTGCTGTAGTTCTCACTGGTATTTCATTCAGTTACTTTTGACTCCATTGAAGGACATAATTGTGTTAAGAAGTAATCTGTCCTTCTTAAACTTTGTTCCATACATATCTAGATGATGATTTGCATGATTTTCAAAACAGAAATACTGATACTGCCGACTAGTATTTACTAATTTTTCCTGTTAATGAATCCCTCAATATATACACTCGGTAACTTTTAAATACCCTGAAGGTATATTGCCTGATTGTTTCTCATAACCAGTTTAACATAATCCAAATGCAGTACAATCTTACCAATAAATTCTAAAGTGTTATATATATATATATATATATTTTTTTTTTTTTTTTTTTTTTTTTTTTTTTTCATCATCCTTGTACAAGTATTATTAAGGTTGTACTGTATGTGTTTGACAGTGAGACTACCTGTGTGTTTTATCCATGAGTTATGCCTCTTTTGGGATAGGTTAATGGAGAATGCAGTAATGCACATTTTGTTTAATTGTTTAATTTATTTAATATTTTTCATTTTGTATTTAAGAAATCATAAATTATTATATGATAAAATGTCATTGGCCTATTAACCAGCTTCATATTTCTTGGTTAATGGTGCTCTAGGAATATGATTTTTTTCATTCTATCTTTTTCTTTGCCTTCCCCCCAAAAAAATTGTTTATGAAAAAATTAGGTTTCCCTCACAAAGCTTTTATGGAGTCTTCAAACTCCACTTTATGTGATATACATTACAGGAAATGGGCCAATAATCATTCTTTGTCTGCAGGTTGTCATGACATTTATAAAATCAGTCCTTTATCACTTTGAACCTTGTGTTTTTACATTAATGACTAAGTAATGACATTATTTAACATGTAACAAAAATATTAACAGAATATGATCTATTAACCAACAGAAGATCTTGGAGTAACTGATAGCCTTTGTGAGTAGGTTTATATTAGTCATAAAAAGACAGTATTATGAATATGCTTAATAGCTCATTGAAGATCATGCACAGCACTAGCAGCAGCTAATTAGTGGGTAGAAATGCCAGCACTCATCAGAATCGGTCAAAGTTGTCATTTCATGATAGTAGAAATGTTATATATATATATATATATATATATATATATATATATATATATATATATATATATATATATATATATATATATATATATATATATAACAAGAACTTGGATGATATACCTTAGATCGAAGACAAAAACTGATTTGTGGGAAAAGAGGACTGCTCGTATTATGCTTAGTGAATATAATATAATGTTGGTTTACCTGTTCAATTGTAATAGTTACTATTTGATATGGAACTGTTCTGATTGCCTAGATTTGTGGTTAGGAACAACCTGTTTTAGATATATGTGATAATATTATCTTGTCATCATCTAAGAACAAATTCATGTTGAAATTCAAACTCTGCTGTGTAGATATGAGACTTTAATTAGGAGGAAAAAAGTTTCATAGATGATTGATTATATTGGAGGTATTTGTCATTTGTCTATGCTGTTTGTTTTTCAATAAGAGTCTTCCATGGCATTATGTACAAGCAGGACTCTGCTATTTGAATGGATGTTATAAATGTGTCAAAATATCTTTGCCTGTAGATATTACATTTTAAATATATTGTGGGTTCTTACTATTTTCAATTCTTTTAGCTTAGGTTACATCTAGACACTTGATTATTTGCATTATCCAGAGCTTATATGTAGGATATTATCATTAGCAATATTATATGCAGAGATTAATATGGATATGGGTTTCATCTGAAATTATTGTGAGTTGATTTGAGGCATTTCAAATTTGTCTTGTTTTACTAATGGTTCTTCATATTAATTCATACTAATGTGTGTTGGTGTTTATCCTGTTCATTAATCTCTTAAAAAGTAATCGTCATGGCTTACCACTAACTCCTATATATTAGAATTGTTTAGATACGAAAACTGCCGAAGCTTGTCACTACAGTCGTTTGTTCATGAGCATACCCTTTTGGATTCTGGCTTCTATTCACCTGAATACTGGCTTGAATCGCTGATATATTAACTTCGTTATTGCTTTTGCACTTCTTGTGGTAGGGACGATTGCCGCATTTGTTATTTCTGTGCATTGTAACTAACATGTGTCTCTCTTCAATAGACCGGAGCTGATGTGAAGCAAGAAGGCAAGGACGTCATCGTTCAGCTGACACCAACTCCTGTAGAGAAGGATTACGGGCAGAGCAACCCCGAAGATGCTGACATGTACACCACACGGAGCTAGATGGAGACTGCTGCCAGGAGGGGGATGAATGGGATGGGGTCCTTTGAAGATCTAGGTCTTATTTCATAACAGTAGTGGGGTATAAGCAGAAGGGGAGAGTGGTCTGGGTAGTCATTTTTCCACGAGGAAGGGCTTATAATTCTTGTTATTATTAATTGTTTGTATTGTATGTTTGGGCAATTTTTTTTACTTGGGTTTCAGAGGTCTTTATTGAGATTTAATTAGTAATTTAACAATTAATCTTACGTTCATTAGATTTATGCACCTATATTTTTAATCTTCATTGCAGTATGTTTAATAAGGCAATTTAGCTAAGGAAACTGACATTTTCTCTGTAATCTCACTGTTCATTGGACAAAGCTTTTCATATTGATATGATTATTAAACCTCTAGATAACATGGATCAGCCCTATGATTATTTTATTTGTATTCTTTAAATAATTCAATTTAACTGAAAGAATGTAAAGACAGAAATGATTTGGTAGGTGACATGCAGCTCCCTGGGAAATGACATCTGTGTATATACCTTTTCTCAATAAAAAATATTGGATGTATATTTAAAATGTGAATTTTATTTAGGACCACACTATATGAAAAAAAAATCTTAACAATATGTTGTCACTGTTCTTACTCTTCTCAACATATAAACAAGGAACTATATAATTAAGAGATTGGCTATTCTCAATGTCAGTAAATAACAGAAAAGTGAAATACGCATCTCAAAAAGTATGGCTTCAGACAACATATGAGGGAATTTTGATATATGACTGATATCCTTAAAGCAGATGATGTGTATTGCAGTTATTACGTCAAGGTTTTGTCTTTAGTGAAAAAAGAGAGATTGATTTCACTATGGATGGTATACCTTGAAAACCAGTTGGTGACTATGAACTTTATAAAATAGTTTGTTACATATTTTCATTTTTGATGGAATTCTGCAGACTCAGACTAATCAAGAAAGAGAGAGAGAGGAGGAGGAGGAGGAAAGAGGAAGGAGGCTGAGAGAGAGAGAGAGAGAGAGAAATTCCATCCACTTTTGGAAAACTTTATACACTTGTACTGTTACTGTTACTAAATATTAACAAGCAATATAGCTACAGTTCCTTTAAAAAGCCAAGCCTCCAGCAAAAAAAATCTTATTCATATGAGGGATTTCTTGAAAGAAAATCGACAACTGTAGAAGAGTTTATTGCTAGCTCATTCCAAATGATCTATTATGGTTGCAGTCACATTCACGGGCTGCTGACGTCATCCCATTAAGGCGCCATTGACGGAAACCTGATGAGGCAGCAGTGGTCGGAAGGTTAAGCAGATTCTAAGGGGGAAAAGTAAATAAAAAGTGTTATTTCTTCTATCTTTATCATTAATAATGTTGAATATAATTTCGTCGACAGTAATTATAGCGATAAGGATAAGTGCTCCTAAAAAAGAGAAATGAAAAGTGTTAGATAATACAGTAGTAACATTACTAATATAGATAACATGGGCGATAACATAAAATAACAATGGATATCGATAACTGCACATGCAACATGATGTGTTGATGGTGATGAGGTAGACGATAACGAAAACAGGCATCTGGCTTGTCAACAGCATATAACTAGGAGATGCATACTTCCATTACACAAGAAATGGACAATATAAAGTCTCCTCGAGTATGGAGCAGCTTTGAGTACACTGTCGAGTGAAGAACGGTGTTGTCCGCGCCGTAACTTATAACTGATAAGATAGTGAGCAAGGTGCATCCGATACATCGACCACTGCGGCCTTTTCTTCTTTTCTTTCTTTCTTTCTTTCTTCTTCTTACCCCCCCCCAATACCTTGCTTGTTGTCGTCGTGGGGGAGGGGGGGGGACGGAGACGGAGATCCAATTTTATTTATTTTTTGGTCTTTTCTTCTCCTTCTATTCCTTTTCCTTCTCTTCTTCATCCCCTTCTTCTGTCCACTTATCCTAATCGTTAACTCATTTTTACCCTTTTCGCCACAATACTTTACCTTAGTGGTATATGACCTTTCATGCCTAACTATTTATTTGTTTTAGCCAGTGACCATTAACCATTCCTTTTCCTTCCCTTTTAATCCAACACAGCAACAAGAATGACAAAGCCAGTTGTTTTGATTTAATTCCAATAAAGAGA